TTAATCAATAGTGTATTTTTCCATGTTCATGTCATTCTACTGGTGAAATATGACAAATAAACTTATAAGAAATGAAATAATCCAAAAACACATTCAGTTCAATAAAGCCAATAAATAATAATAATAATAATAATACTGAATTATAGTTACCTCTATTATAACAAATATGTGATGAATAACTGAATGTTTAGAGATAGACTACAATGTTTAAGACAGTTAAGTTCTTTAAAAACTTCATCATGATGATTTATTCGTTATATGGAACAAAGTTAACAATAATTAATACATTAAATTCTTACTAAGAATTTTCCAACGGATTAAACTTTAGTGAATTTTTCGAAGACGTTACTGTATAAGCATTTGTTTTGAGAATTTCATTTCACTAAGCTGATATAATGTGACAATTTGACCAGATGTCTACGACTAGTGTCTACAGTATATTATTTATAATCTACTGTTCAGTCAGCGATTTCTTCTAAATAAACATCTTTACATTGTGACAGTGACACAAACTAATGTCTTATGGATAAACACATGTGATGTGAGAGACTTAACGGATTGTATTAATATCGAAATTCCAATAAATCACTAAAAGTAGCCAATGAAATTAGTCATTTACGCTAATTAATGAATTAATCTATTTCTCAAAAACAAAAGAATAAATATTAGTGTAAACTACTGTTTATTTGACACTTGAAGAGATTTTATCTCATGGAATTCGTGTGTTGTTCGTTTTTTCGGCGCTTTTAATTTTGACTTCCTATGTTCACAGTATAGCGGGTGATTTTGAATGTGTTTTAATATCTAACTATCAATCGTCTGTCATTAAAAACTTAATAATTAAATGAACGTGACAACTCTCTGCAGTACAGTACGAAAAACTGAATAATTATTATTCAGTACTCATATGAAGGTCTCTATACTAAGATATAATTTATGACAATGGTAGACATTATCTTAGAAATGAGAGTTAACATTATTGAACCAGTGTTGAATGAATACTGATATAACAATACACTGAAAGATAAAATAGATCCAACATCGGGATAGTGTATTGCTTCAAAAAACATGCAATACTATTAAAAGATAACACTTTCAACTTAATAATGAATTATAAGCTATCTATTTCATTTGCATTAAAGTTATGCTTAGTATTTGAAGTTTTGTCATAACCACCACATTGCCAAAATGAAATAGGTGAGGAGAGGGTTCAGTCCTACAACTAAGTAGCCAAACGTCAAAGTAGTAAAAGCTAACAAAAAATAACTTAATTAACTATGACATTCAGCCTTGTCAGTAATCACTTACTTAATATGGTTTTTGTTCGCCACAGAGGCGATACACTAGTTTCGCCAATAAACACCACTAATGGTAAGATCACAATCCAAAGAAGATAACCAGCGGCAAATTGCATTGTATTGATATTCGGACCCAAGATGCATAAATCCATATTGTACAACTCAGAGAAAATTTGTGCGATAAAATGTCTACGTCCTACAACTACCAATATCCAGAATACCAGGCAAATTCTTAAAGCTAACAATAAACAACCAGGTACTGTATTCCAAACAGAGAAATCGATTACAGGGTCTCTATCAAACTACAAGAGATATGAAAAAAAAATCAAACATTGAAGAAAAATTCTTACATTTAATTTAATTTTATCTGAAACATGTTGAAGATATAAAAAATGTTGCACAATAATCTTATCATTGAATAATTACTTAAATTTGAGTTGAATATACTTGCTTTGTGCTGATTCGGTCAGTTGTCACTGATGTATTGTCTTTGTCATTTCAGTCAATAGTTTAATCTACCAAAACTTTAGTTAAAGAACTATCTTCACGCTTCATCAGTGAATATACAGTTGAAATAATTGATCACTTATATATTCCAAGACTGTTAAGACATTTAAAATCAAGTAACAACAATGTACAACGACTAATGCAAATGTTCATTCACCTAAGTTTTTCCACATTAGTATAATGAACAAAAGCAATTCATAGCATATGAAAAGCAAACAAGTGAAAATAATAATGTAAATTATCAGTGAAAACGATACAATCGGGAAAAGAAAAGCATTAGTAATCATAGTCTAGATAAAATTGAATATGATTCCCAGTGAGTTTAAACCATTTCACTGAACGTATCTAACTAGGAATTGCAAAGTTTATAATTCATAATGAGGTCGACAAAACTATAATAAAACAAGAAATCATATCAATGATAGTATTCATTAAGTTGAAACTGATAGTTGTACAAATAAATCATTCCACTCATGAAATAAAATATTCCCATAATTGATTAATAAACTAGTTGAACATAACACCATCCAATAAATCAAAAGGCTATAAAAGTTACCTGACTAGCTGCCGTTATCTACAATATTCATTGTTAAAAGAAAGCAATCTTGCATAATAGATGAAAAGAATTTTACAAATTCCAATTAACCAATAGGAATAAAAAATGTTCTCCATAATAATAATAATCACAACAAAAATAATAATACTAATAATAATAATAATAATAATAATAATAATAATAATAATAGATAGACCTTTTAATAATTTGAGCATAAAAATGCCAATTCTTTGCAAGAATTAGTTAAAATAAAATTCCTTTAATTTTTTCCGAACTGGTTCTATCAGAAAACAACAACCATTCAATGTTATTGACATTGATGATCCTTATGTTCAGAATGTAACATTTTGAATGATGGTGGAAAATGATAACCGGTTTAAAATTATCAAAATGAAAAGGCTGTGTGCATTTTTCTTCTTTGCTTATGACTACGTAAACCATTAGAGATTCATGTGATTGGATGAAATCATACTTTGTGTGAAAGGCAGAGATACTGAAGAGTTGCTTAAACTCAAAGTAGCTGAGGTGAAGTTCAAACCTCCAACCCTCCTCCCAACCATTGTACATTGAATACTTCAACTACTCAGCTACCACTTAACTTTATATGCACAAATAAAGAAAAAAACTGGGATTCTACTCTAGCAAATTAAAACCTAGAGAGTACATAAAACTAATGAAAATAAAAAGTTAACAGCGATTTCTCCGTTACAAAGCCGATCAAAAAAGAATAACTTTAAATAAGTCACTGAACAAACAGATGAGTCAGATATTAGGCTAGAGTAATAAATGATAAGGCATTAAAAATTCACTTGAATCATTCAAATTACTGGACATTAATGTTTTAAAGTAAATATTTACCAGCTGTCCACTTTCCAATGGTTGTTTGAAAGTTATTATAGGAACGAACACTTAAATTGTAATTAGTGAAATATTACAAGTAATCAACTAAATTAACTAGAAAAAAAATCAACATAGTCTGAGTGTTTCGTAAAACAAAATCCAAACATTGAGTCAATCGTAGTTTTGTTCAATGAAATAAATGTAAATGCATTAGGACATTATTTTCAAGTTCCATTAAAGGCATCTCATACATGAATGACTATCAGTCTAATTAGTAATATAAATGTTTTAATATCATATCGATCAGAAGGTTTATATCAAATGATAGTGTTAAGTACAACAACATACTCAATACAGGCAAATGTAAACATAAAGAGGAAAAGAGATGAATTAAAATAATATTCATAGTAATAGTAAATAGAAAAGCTCACCATCGCCCATATATACAGTAACGTCTTGACACCAAGTAACAAAGTAACCAATAAAATTACATAAGGCCAAAATGATGTGGACTTCTCCTGATTGGTTGATGGTCTAACACAAATATTTTCATCTTGGATAGGATCATAGATGTACAATTTATGACTTAATTTACCAAGGTGAAGGAATCCAGCAGGTAAAGTAGAAGAGACTTTGGAAGTTCGTGGACGAACAGTTTTGGAAATATCACAATAATGGAATGCAGTTGACGGATACTGGGGACTGAAACCCATTTGACATGTACACAACAGAACAACTAAGAACACCGAGTCTGCCCATTGTGTAATTACTGTTCCCAACTCTGAGACCAGACCTAGTCCTCGACCATCGAATGAGAAAACAAGCCAGTGAACAGCAGCCAGCGTTGCTCCCACAGTAGCCAGCCAAAGATGAGTAAGATAGAGGCATACGTGAAGTGAACAGTTATTGACTAGTTTGACCTGTGTAACAAATCATTATAAAATTGATCAATAACAATAAAATAGAACAACGATAATAAGCTGTCTACATTATATCACAAAAAATCACCAGCTAAACTAAGAGAACTGATTTGAGTGTAAATTCAATCACTAAAGGATTAATGCCAGTAGACTGAAAAATAAAAGCGTCATTAATATTATCAATAAACCAATAATGACAAATGAAGAATATAACGAAGAAGAAATGAGTGGGAACGATCTGCATCTTCATTACCGGATGTTCATTCTTTCGATACATACCATGGGATGAGGAATGTATGTCAAGCAAGCATTTCTGCATCGCCACTTATCATTCAAAAGACTGAATTAGATCGACATATTCATGTAGCATGACGGAGATATATTTGTACACTTCAGCACATGAAATCCTCGTACGAGGTTAATGTTTGGCAAGTTCTATATTATCTTAAGAAAGCAGTAGTTAAGAGAAGATTTAATCCAACTGAGTAATGGCCAACTTTAACTAGTAAATCTTAATTTAGTCAGGTTAGATCATATTTAACAGCGAACTGTAACCCCATCACAAATTTTTTTTTAAAACTCAGTAATACGGTTTTCTTGCAAAGCAATCACTACAATGCAATAGTACTCTACAAAGTTTTTAAATCAACAGGGTTACATGTTGTCTTTAAACAAAAGAACCAAAGTGTTCGAAACAATAGTCCTTGATTGGGATAGGTGTCATTTACAAAACTTTGACGTGGATCAGCTAACGATTGGGATTCTTAATAATCTCCTCTTCAAAGTTTTAAACTGCGCGAGTGCTGTTGAACTAGGAGCTACAAAGCTTGCATCCTATAAGGGTAATTCTCAAGGAGAGAGAAAAATTCTCTATCTACTCATTTTTTCCTTACATTATTTCCGACACGAGCAAAGGATACACCGTTTGCTTTCGTTTGTTTTTTAAGTAGTTGACGCTGTATCAAATACGAGACTGATTGAAATGCATTTTCGTCGCGCTAACTCTTGTATTAATATTTCTGTTTGTGTAATTAGTACATGGTTATAACACCCTTATTTAAATACACTTATGCTTATACTTTGTATTATATAAAAAAGTAAAACACTAAACATACTTCTTTTACTTCATCTCGGCAAAAAATATTAACTCTTAAATCATAAGGAAGTTCGTTTTATCTAAGTAATTCAATTGTTAATAAACTGTTACTAACAATAAATTACAACAAATCATACTTAAAAAATTGTAAACGAATATATTTTTGGTTAAACATGTAACGACGCCTACAACAACATACTACATAAACAAAATAAATAACAGACAGCTTTTTAAAACGTACATGTGCTATTATACTCAAAATAATATAGAGTGACAGAAATATAAAGAACATTTGTGCAATTCCATGTGTTTCAAAAGAGAAATGATGTTCAAACTGATTGAAAGACTGTAATTTTGGTTCACCATTAACAAGCCATATATCATAAATCAATGTTAATGCTGATGATGATGATGATGATGACGATGAGAATGATGATGATGAATTCGGATGTCGAGGAATTGCAGTAGTCTCCCATTTACATGTAGTTAAATTGCGTTTACATGCAACCAAACTCAAATACCAGTAACTGTATATCATAGATAAGGAAAGATGAAAAGAAAATCTAAATTCAAATTACACTAATCAATGGGAAACAAATTTCAAAAAATGTTAATTTATTCTATATTAGGTTAACTATCAGCGAAAAAATGCACTTTACCAAGTGTAAAAAAAGAAAGAGACCAATCTTTAAAATAGCTTAGCTACTGAATGATTTGATCACTTGTGTCCGAACTACTAACTTAAGGAAAAAACCAGCACGAAATTCTGATAAATTTTAAATTTTGCTTGCAAAAAGCAAGTTTGGTGTTTTTGACTTTACAGTATGTAACCATGTTATCATTGAATATGATAGGTGATAATCATCAACACTTTTTAATTTGTATTCATTTCTGTAGATAGTACGAATAGAACATAAGATTTACTTATTACACACTATTTTTTACCATACGAACAAATGATTCCTCACATAACATGATAACCGTGATATAATCTTCGTACGAATTTAAATATACTGCATTTTATTTAGATATTTATTTTTCTTCCTAAAACATGTTTAGCTCTGGTTTTATCAATCTTCTACGCAAAAATCTTACCCGTTGTTTGTAGATAGTTACAGAGAGATTTCTGCTTATTTTGGAGTTCTAAAATTTACAACTCAATCTATCTAACAGATTGGGCTAATCAAAAACTAAATGATAAACGCATGTAATTGATCAAAAATGGCTTGCATTTCTGCAGCATATATATATATACATATATATATATATATAGAGAGAGAGAGAGAAAGAAAGTAGACGTGCACTCCATATTTGGTATAGTTAACTTTCTTCTCACTCTAAGTCGTTTTACTCGAGCAGCCGATTGAGCTGGTGCACAGAAAGACTGCATGTCAGTATCGAAATCCAAAGTCGCAACTAACGGGGCTATCTAACTTATATGACCTATTTTAAAATCTGTTTACAGATAAGAGAAAACAGCATAGGAACAAGTTCAGTCCGAATGAAATGTTTGTTAATAGTTCAATTTACTAGTTTGTCATTGTTTAGCAAAACATACAGCATCATGAGTTCAAGAAAGTCTATTAACACTTCCTTCTGAGTGCTATTCAAAATTGCCAATTCAAAACATGACATACGCCTTTAAAGCCATTGACTACTGGACTGAGCCATGTCAGTGGGCGTAGGCTACCTGGTTAGGATCCACCAGACAATCGTAACCGATGGTTAGGGAATTTGAATGGTTAGTAATGGCGTAGATACGTCCGTTCCTTGTGTTCTCTCGAATCCTAATCTTCCCAATTCTTCATGACCTTTTTCATCTTTTTAAATTTACTCTATTGGATTATACTACTCATATCATATCTTCGATGCCTAATCTTTTCGATTACCGCTAATACTTTTACTACCTTCACTACAAAGGGATTTGGGTTGACAATTTGATTTCTCTATGATGGTGTGGTATGGAAACTTGAACTGATGTGCGTACGTTCCAAAATCTAAAGTTATCTTGTAGTGCCTCCACATATATTTGAGTTCGCTTACATTTAATTTGGTTAATCCTTTCGATTAACTTATTTAACCAAGCCACTTGTATAGCAACAACTTATATGTACCATTGGCTTTTACCGTTGTCTGGTTTGTATGAGCTCGTATGACTGAACATTGCTTACGCCTATGCGCATATTCATCCTATTCGCTTTAATGTCAATCTCTTAAATATCTCGATGACTCAAACATTTTCCTATGTGTATATACGAACATTTTAATCTCATGAATTCATTCGCACATTGACCGATTTGATCGCTAGTGTGCCTGCCCTGTCTGCTTGTGGTGTGCTAAAAAAAAACGAATTCAACACTTCGTATTTGCCTTTTCATTTATAACTGTCAGGCGCTATTTGGTGCTGATTGCCTAGACGAACGAATTACGAAGTTTGAGGACACGTTGAAATTGACCACCACAATCTCACTGAATTATGCTTCCCGAATCATATCTTCGAACCCTAATCTTCTCCATTACTGCTAATACTTCTACTATCGCTACCAATACGGGATTTGAACTAACATTTGCGTCTCTGTGCTATTGATTTTCCATCCTTACCTAGTACTCATTTCCTAACAACAGCATTGCTTACTCGGTTGCCCCAGGACACCTATGATCGAAACCCAGTAACCTACGAACATCCCTAATTCTTAATGGCTATGCTGTACATCCATATAGTAGGACAGAGCAAACTGCTGTGCAGTACACTCGTCCGTTGGTTAGCAGACGGATATCTCGTCTACTCTATAAGTGACGCGAGTTGGCAAAAGCCAATCGAGCCTTTCGTATCCGTGCTGAGATTTCGTCACACACCAGGCCGTCAGCACTCTCGAGACTCCCATTTATCAGTGCTGATCGAACCGCACCGCCCAAGTTAATAATATGATCAACAAGCTAACTATGTATTGTGATGCAGTTGGATTAAACTTGAACAACTGACTCTAGTCTGTATAAAGCTTTAAAACTAAACTTTTGGATTACTGTTATTTATTACGAAACTAAATAGCGTAAGCATTCGACTTTTTAGATCAGTTTCTATGCATATTACTGATTCAGATACCAAAAATTTCCCATTTAAATTCAACAATAAGAAATGAGTCTCTGCTTGAACCTCCCTACTACCTTAGCTCTGAATTTAAAATACTTTTATTTAAATAAGGAATATACATATACATATCTGAATTATATTTTCGGGAATATTTAGAATAGAAATCACAGGAAATCGTTCGGTGAAGTTCATTTAAAAGCACTGTTAAATGGTTCAAATCTACCACGGATATAATTATACACGCAGCACAACTGACACCGAAACGAGAAACAACATACAGAAGTATATAAATAACAATTATTAATATATTTTTGTACAACGAGGTCCTATCAGTAATATATACCTCATGGTTTTCATGAGTTTGACAAGAAAGGCTTGTAAGTCGAAGCAGATTTTTTCGGTTTCATTGGTTACAATTTCGCACTCCATAGATAGAAAATTAACAGAAAAGCAAAGTAAGATACGCAGTAACTTAGAGTGGCGATAACCATACAAGCCTTTGGTACATCTAACACTTAGAAATTATCCGAAGTAATTAATTGTGACTACTTTAAGGTGAAAGAACTCTACAGGATTTTTAAACGATTACCTCCCTTAAAATACACAAAATCATGCACTATTTTTGATTTTTTTGTACAATTGAAATGAAATTATATTGACTGGATTTCAGCAAAAAATACACGACATTACTACAAACCGTGGTTGCCGAAGATCTTGCACAACAAAAGTAAATTGTGAATTTGGTACTACACTTTCGGGATCATCCTCCTCTGCACAAAACCCAGATGAAGAACAAGGTACTGACCGAAGTAAATCCATTTCTCCTGTGGGGGAACAAGTCTTGTGCCAAGCAAGAGAGTTGATTTTATCAAACATTTTGTTGCAACGTTCAGTTTCCATGAGCCACTGACTTTCCTGATACGTCATACCAGTTACATTTTGTACCCATATTGATTCTGTGGCATTCCCATAAAGATCCATAATGAACTCACTGTCAACCAGAACTAATGTTGCAATATCTGTCAAATTCTGTGCTATAAGGCAAGGCAAAAATGAAAAAACACCTATTTTATGAGATTTTTAAGTTTCACAGGTTACGGAATGATGAATTAAAGTTTATACTCAAATCAATAGAAACGCAAACCAATAATATTGGCAGTTTTTTACTCTTTTGCCTTAGTATTTTCTAAAAAACTCATATGATGATAAAAGAAGCAGGTGCGTATGATAAACACTACTCACCGTGTTCATCTCAGATGGCAACCCTCATAACTTTTTTAAACGACTACAAGTTTTTGAAATGAGCTCTTATCGACATACTTGATTTTTAATTAAAAGTCAGAAAGTAAATTCAATGGGGAGATAACATACTCCTGTCTTGAAATACTTCAATCAGTCAGTTACAGTGTAGAAATTAGTACGTAAGTACATCAGTTGAAGTACTTCACACAGAATTAAAACTGAATAGCAACCAACGATTCAAAAAAACTATATTAGTTAGATAAATTTTTGTAAGTCACAAAAGATTCGTTTTTGGAAAGCTGAATGATTCAGTAGTCGCGAATAAGTGAGCATTTTCCTTAATTCAATGTTGCATATGCGAAAATAGTAGATTCGATGTACGCATATTTACTGTCCAATCATTAAGGACAAACAACACAATTTTACAGAGTTACTCAAAATCATATTCATGCATCACAAAAAAGGCAACCTTCATCATTATCAGTAAAGGCAATAAAGTACATTACAATACCTAACCAAGATGAAAAAAAATAATACAGGGAATACACAAAAGAACCAACTCGACAACTCCTGTAACTCACTGTTTGATTTGTTTAGGAGGTTCACTGTCCCGTAAATATAACCCCTTGTAGCCTCAAGTTCGTCAACTTGAGTTCGTTGAAAACCGAACTTTGTCAAAAACAAATATCTGTTGGATGGATTCCATTTCCCTCTAAGACGTAATGTGTTTGCCGCATCCGTGATTATTAAGATGGTTAAAATATTTATCTACAGAAAAAAACAAAGTATACAACCTCTTTTACCTTTGTTAACCAGTCTTCATAACTTGAAAACCCCTGTTTATATGATCTCAAAATGATCTGACCAGTTAAAAGTAGCGAGCCAATTAAAGACAGGTTGGCAGAAACTTCGTTATTTTGACTGTTTACGAACTACCCTTTTACATGATTTGGTGAACAATAATATGATGCAATTCCCTAAACCCTTTAACGATACTACAGTCTTACTTGCCTGTATACAGATGAATAAGTACAACCTAGCATTCACAAACCAGTTTTTTGGAACCACAACCACATATGCCTTGGAAACCACACTGTTTACTACAAGATTCTTCCGGAGTCTGGACACACTGAATAACTTGAAAGGCGTAACCTTTGCAATTGAAATCTAAAGCATAATCTTGGTTCTCAACAAATATGAACCTATGGAACATTAAATCCACTACCACATTCAGTCATATAAGAATCTACATAACTCTACTCTCAACTGCGCATCACAGAAGCTTAAATATTTGATTAACTATACTTACCATATACAAAGGAGACAGAAAGTATTTGCGTTTAGACTGTGATAGAATTTTCTTACATTTTATTATATACTGACAACCATAAGTTGGCTATAGATTTCATCTGTACAGGTTATGCGTTTGGGTATTAATTTAGTACTATTCTTCGAACTATAACCTCTCCGATTACTGCCAATACTTTTACTACATCTAATACTACGGGATTTGAATTGACAACTGCATATCTGTGCTAATGTGGTATGGCAACTTAATGTACGTTCGTACGAAGTTCTACGCTGTAACTGACTGACTAATAGGTTTATATCAAAATATTAATTTTTGCCTGTGAACATAAACTGCAGAACTTATTGGCTGCCAATAAGTTATGAGAATTATGTAGACAAATGACTTACCTCGATCACCAATTACTATTAAATAAAATATTGCTGAAACTAAGGACTTCTGCAAGAATACGTTTGACAGACCAGAGGTAGGGATAGATCAAGCAATCTATGGTAATTCTGTAATACTGTGAAAATTAATCTCCCTGTATTAATTAACAAGTGTCATAATTGTGCGTTTTTGGTAAAGAATTTCAGTAATTCACAACCCAATATGAGCAATGAAACTGAAGACTGAAACAACTTAGTATCCATTTTTGAACTCTAGGAGAGCATATCAGATTATCAGTTATAAGTGCAAAAAAGTCTTTCTTGCTTTGCTATTATGATCTAGAGGTTGATGAGGTTGGAATAAAATGCTTGGTTGTGTGAGAACTTGAAAAATCATTTCTCTGAAGTTTTATATAAGTATATAAATATGCAAATGTAGGCTAGTTTTGGGTAAGTATATGTAAACCTTGACAGAAGAGAGATATCTTGGACAAATATAGAATTTCACCTAACGTAGACAAAAAAGACGACTACATTATGCATCATCCCCTAATTACTTCAAAATGGTATTGATACTCCCCAAAATATCGAATAATTTCCGAAATTATTCTCCAAGGCAACTTATAAATTGTCGCCTATGTTCATTAAGGAGAACTAGTTATACTTCCTTAAAGTTTATTCAGTATTCCTTATTTTCTGTTTGGTTGGGTTAGGATAACAAAATGATTTTTTGTGTAAACATCTCTGATTAGATATTTCATTGTTATTTAAGTAGGTCAAAGGATAAAAACGAATGCTTACCAAGAACATATCCTTCACTAGGAGCTACACCACCAGTGTAGCCACTGGGAAATCATCAGGGTAGTGAATAGACACATATTTGCCGCGTGAGACCTCGAAGTTTTCAGTCCTCATTACATGGGTTTAATGATTCAAATGGTTGTGGACGAGTGAAGAAAAAAAATCAACAAATAATGAAATACGGTCTTCAGTCCTTCAGAATGTACCAGGTTTCCTCTTACAGGACTCTTGGGAAAATCGCTTAGCTCACCTCACGTGCTCTCAAATTCCAGAATTTGACTGCTTGTAAAGAGTAGACATGACTGCAGTCTATTCCGTAATGCTGTACCTCTAATTCGTAGGTATGGCCCCTAAAGATTCTGATGAAAGTGAACTTATTTCATTATTTGAGATGCCGAAAAGTATTAAAGCTTTCATATGTCCTCATAAACTCACCTCTGAGACGCCTATACTCTGTTTGGTAAAGATCCGGTGATTTGAAGCGCCCTGCCCTAAGTTTGAATTTAAGTCCTGGAATTGACTTCGTGGCCCGAATTTGGGTACTTTGCAGTGTATTTTTATCACTTTGCACTTGAGCAGTTATCACGGAGGCCGAATAAAACTGTTGAAGGCTAAGTGGATAGTTTGACTGTCACACTGGTCGGAAATGCACTTCAGCGTCACCATTGCAAGGTTTGGCTGAATTTCGTGTTAGTTCGAGTGAGTGAAAGACTCCTAGATCTTTTTCAGCTTGAAATGCTTCTGGTGAATATCCACTTACGTTTCATGCGAGGTAGGCCACACATTTCGCATGAACTACTGAACACCTTGAGAGTAAGCTGTCTGTCATCCACATAACTTTCAAGTAGTATTAGATCCTCCTAAAGTTTGGGATTATCATCTTGGTTGCGAAATTCTCTCCTAAGTTTAAGATCTACAGCAAAAATTAGGGACTCAGATGATACTAGTTGAGGGAGTTGGTTTCTAAAAACTGGATAGAAGGGGTCCTAGCATGAAACTCCTGGGGACCCCACCAGGGGATTCTGAATCCTGGGTAAAGGCACAGTTTGCCCTGACCTTAAAAATCTAAATAGTTGGATATGAAGTAAAACGGTCTATTAAGAGTAGCTTTTACCTTACAGTTTGGGTTTATTGACAAGACAAGTGAAAGACTCTATTAAAAACTACCGAAAAGTCAAGGTATACAATGTTAACCTTCCCCTAGCAACAGGTAACGGCGTTCCACCAGAAGTTTGGCTATGGAGAAGTGGCCCTCCCTGAAACCGTGTTTCCACTGAGAACAGAAGTTCATGGATGCCAAGTAGTCGAGTTACTTAATTAATTACTTAATTACTTGATACTTACTTAATTACGCCTGTTACCCCCCAATGGAGCATGGGCTGCACACCAGTTTTCTCCGACCAACTCTGTCCTGGGCCTCCCTTTCTAGCTCTGTCCAATTTTTGTTCATTCTTCTCATGTCTGTCTCCATTTCTTGGCGTAATTTGTTCCTTGACCTTCCTCTTTACCTTTTACCTTAAGGGTTCCATGTGAGGGCTTGTCTCGTGATGTAGTTGAGTGCTTTCCTCAATCTTTATCCTATCCACTTCCACCGCTTCCTCCTGATTTCCCCCTCCTCTGTAATGTCGTCTGTTCTCTCCCTTAGTACAGTGTTGCTGATGGTGTCTGGCCAAAGAATCTGAGGTATTTTCTGAAGAAACCCGTTAATAAATACTTTTATCTTCTGGATTATGGCTTTCGGAGTTCTCCAAGTTTCCGCCCCATACAACAGAACTGTCTTGACATATGTATTGAAAATTCTGGTTTTGGTTTTGATTGATAGTTGTGCTGCTTTGCCAATTTTCGCACTCACATCTATATCAGATCAACCTTGCTCATCAAAGGTGAGAATTTAGCTTACAATTTTGGGCATGCTGAGACCTACTGTTGCTGAGGCTGCTGCTACACTGAACACCTCTTGCATTAGTTGTTACGTAAGCAATTGAAGAGCCAGATCATCTTTGATGTCTAGATCGTCTAGCTGAGTCTAAGTTGTCCACTGTATACTGTGCTTTCCTCCAGATACTTACGAATGAAATTTTTTGGAAGCTGGAAGTGTCCTTGATTAAATTCTATAAATTCTGATGCGCTAGCCCACTGTTAGGCTAACTTCTGAGATCCTTCTATGGTTTCTGATCATTTCAAGGAACAAGAATACATGAACAAACTTGGATTAGGACGCTGCATCAAGTCATGCACAAAACGAAGACATGATGCAAATAAACTGAAGAATTTAGTGACATGGACAACAATTAGGATACATCATCGTGTCCAGCCACCAAGTGAAGCTAAATGAGTCGGAAATCTTATTATCTGTCGCTGTGATGCCATACTTCGTTTGTTTTGTGGTTTGAACTTTCAATCGCAATTCCAGTGTAATGTAATCAAATACACAGCTCCGTCATAACGTACAAGTACATATTAGAACGTACATCCATACCTCATCTATTTCTTCTCTGTGAATGAGGCTGTCATGGAGGAAAAGCGGAAATGGAACGATAAGGAACCGTGAATAGTAATGCGTGCAGAGTTATAACCGAGAGAGTAATCAAAGCCCTGTTGTTGCGCGGGTCGAGATCGACTAAGATCATCACCATAGACCAATTACATTTCCGTCACGGAGTAGAAAAGTTAATCCATATGAGAAAATATATTTGCTTGCGATCTCGTGGTATCGAAAGAATACCGAAAACGTGCCAGAAAAGAAGGGCAAAGTTACGGAAACAGAGGAGCAAAAATGAAAACAACACAAACGGAAAGTTTGCGCGTACAGAGTAGAATCGACAAAAAGTAAGGTAGAGCAATCACTGGTTCATTTGGTTACAATAACTGATGTTTTGATTCAGCCGATCGCGTTCCTTCATAAAAGTGGATACACTACAGCCCTTTTCAGAGTCTCTACCATATGGCTTCAATGCTTTAGTTCATAATCTGTCCAACTGATGAGTCTCTGTCACTTTTATCTCCAAATATATTTTCTGTATTCTCAATATCGTTGCAGCCGTAAGCGATTATAATGCAGTTAAGAGACCTAAAGAATGCTGCTCCCATAACTCTATCTCATTCTGTAAGTATTTTGCAACGTGAATCTCTCACGATATAACAGTCGTGCCCATAGTGCATAGACTACTGCTTTCAAACTCCGAGCACCTGTTCATGGGGTGACTCGAAAATCCTGAAAATAGTACAGAGGACGCCTTTTCAGTTATTACACACATAACAGCTCAAGAAGCTTAACCACCATACTGTGTTTATCCACGGATTGAAATTTGATCTGAGTTTAATATATAGAATGTTAGCAACACATGTAAATCTCTTTCTTCTTAAAGGATAGGGTAACTCAGGACATGTAGTCGGAAATAGAGAAGAAACCATCTGTGGAAACATGTACTCACAGCTCGTTATCAACAGCTGTGATATACTATCGCGCGAGTTGGTGCTCGCAACTTCAGTCGACACTCACCGAAGAAAAATAGACATTCACAGAAGCTTAATAAAAAGGAGCTAACACACGACGTCGGCTTTCTATCCTTTATACGCAAATCTGAAAGCTACATCTGGGTTACAATTCGGTAATGAATACAAATATCCATTTCCTGACAATAAAATGTCAGGAGAGGTTTGAAAATACATCTAAGTGGCTACCCGATATTGTGAAGCTGCTGAATGATATGATAATGCTTGAAATAAAGTAATTCAACTTGTAAATTATGGCTAGGGGAATCTGATCGATAGTCCTTATTTTCCTTGTCTTCTGGAACTGAAAATTTACGAGGATATCCCCACACATTCACAATCTGAATATTAAATACTTGTCAACTGACTATCGGCATTCCCACTGATTGATCAGACAGTAGAATATATATGTGTGGTGAAAAACGATGTACGGACAATTAAATGAGATCAGAGTGATCTGTAAACGTTGATAATAGCCATATTAGAGGTCTATTTCCTCGACAACGTTTTAAGTTGCAGTGGGTGAGTCATGATACCACATTGACTATGCTTATCACTAAATGTTCCATAATATCCCGCCGTCATTAAAATCAAAATAAATCCATGGTTGAGTATTTTACTGAACGAGAACGCTGACATTACATGGAGAGCAGGGCATTTAGAAAAATAACAGCAACACGAAGAGAGTATCCACTTCAGGAGTTTCACAGAGGACCATCCTAGGCCCAATCCTCTTCCTGATGTCTATTAACGGCCTGTTAGGCTTAGTTAGCTCACCGTCATTGATCTACGCAGACGATGCGAAGATCTGGATGTCCATTAGAAGCGAAGAGGATTCGATTGAGCTTCAAAAGGACCTTACATCTATTGAGAAATGGGCAGTGAAAAACGGTTTAAAACTCAACCAACCGAAGTGCCACGCCATGCATTTCCTGCCTCATATGACGCAAACGACCTACACTCTCAATAGAAGTCCGCTCCCTAATGTCTCCTCAGAGCGCGATCTTGGTTTAATAACCACAGAAAGCCTCCACACGAGTCCGAACTATGTAGGGGATGCAGCCAAGGCAAATGCGACCCTACACTTTATGCGTAGACAGCTTGGTGCTATCACCCCGAAATTATTTTTAACCCTGTTTAAGACGTACGCGCGCCCACACTTGGAAGTTCACAACGTCATCGCACCCCCTCTGCTTAAAAGAGACATTAATCTCTTGGATCGAGTGCAGCGACGAGCAACGAAATGGGTGATAGGGTTGAAAAATGAACCCTACGACGATAGACTCCAGCTCTTGGGATTATTCCCACTGAGCTACAGGAGAATCAGAGGTGACCTGATTATGGCGTACACCATATTAAACACGCCAAACCATCCCAATGTGAGCATCTTACCGATGCATCACCACCACTCCCCTCGAGGCAATCCTCGAAATATTGCACATCAAAGAGCAAATACTCAGATTCGTGCACACTTTTTCTCATTGCGAGTCGTCGCGACTTGGAATGCTCTCCCAGCCGAGGTAGTTACAGCCCCCTCAGTGGACTGCTTTAAGAAGAGACTTGATAATCACGTACTCACATACGGACTATCATCTCCCTCTTGGACAAACTGTTCATGATGCATATCTTGAGACCTGCTAGTTGTTACCATTGCCATCTCCTCAGATCACTCAATTAATCTATCTCGCCTATTATCTCTGCTTCCTCTCCCTTGCTTACACTTCGTTCCTCTCTCACAATCTTTACTACCAATTAATAAACTAAATTCATCTATATATTACTCAGTTCTGAAATTTTATTCATATTATCATTAGAATTTTATCCTTATTACCCTTATTACTCTCCACATTGCAACTAACTGATCTCCGGTTTGGTAGTGTGACGGCTGCTAGTATCCAGAAACCCTACTGCCCTGAAACAAACGTTTCATTCAAATCCCGAGACATACAAACTCACAATCAACTGCCAACTGACTAGAATTAGACAGTCGAGTGGCTAGACCTCAATCCATTCCACATTACCGAACACATGGAACCGTACCGAAAGAACAAGAATCGAGCTCAAAGAAATCAAATTGGTTTACACTAGCTCGTGAAAAAGATATTAGATATTGGAGAACGTTGCGCGCAAGAAGTGGAAGAAGTGTTTTTGGTACAGTTAAACAAAACGAGTACAATAATGTTTATTTTTCACAAATCGTATTTTCTTCATAGAAGCGTTCCACAACAAAGTAAAAACGAGGAGCGTTCTAGTAGCAATGTATTCGTGGTTAGTAGTTAGCATAACACGTCCGTTCAGAAGTAACGAAACCAGAGCTAAATGATAAATTTCGAGTGAAATTTGACATTTAAAAGCGGTGATTACATAGATACAGTTAAATTACGAAGAACACGACGAACGATAAACATTCTTTGGAAAATAAGTCTATGTTAATCACCTTCACAGAACCGCGGCATGTAACTGGGTGCGTCACTGCTCACATGTTTACTGATGGTAAGCATATTCTTCATGATAAACTTCCTAATTTTTGGTAATTAGAATTTGAGAAAACTTTTACCATATTTTTTGAAATTTCAAATTTAGGATTTGTGAAACGAAGATTTACACATAGGGTACCTGCTCACAACTCAACTCTAGCAATTATGTGTAAACAAAGACGTATTAAGCAGAATTATAGGCTACATTCCAAAGGAAAAATGGGTTTGACTTTATAGGGCACACGTCAAAATGTTTTCTTTTACGCCCTTCAGAGAAACACTATTAGACTTCTCCTAAATCACCGCTCGAAGTAGTGTCTCAGCACGTTTCGGAAAACATAATTAACCTCTATCTGTTTCTACTTTTCAACTCTTCCACAATCTGTGAGATTTGAAAACATGATGTACGTGCTAAAAACATCTGTTTTCAGAAGTTTTAATCATGTCTTACAATATTGATATCAATATATAGCTGCTAATAGCATTCCCATGCTTTTACCAATATGACTATGCTAAACAGAAATCTGTAAAAACGACTGTCAGTCAATGATTAAAAAATAGCAGGGTCTTATTACAAACAAAGTAAAAGTGCAAATGTAACACATCGAAGTGAAGAATTTGACCCTATACTATAAATAGTTTATTGGAGAATTCGATAGGACTACTGTTTGTGAACTAACTAAAAAAATTGAGGATTGCATGTTTCGAGTTTTTGCGTAGGATTCATCTGTAACTAGCTAACATTCTAGCATCATAGTTTATGTAAGATTGTGAAGACCGTTACTCAAATTCTAAACCCTACCCTCTAACTCCAGTCCTAATTCTTCACACATGTCTATTTCAGCCCAACTAGGTGTTTACATTTCTGTAGGCTACTTCAAAATCACTCCAATGTCATCTATTAAATATAGCCTCGCAGAAGATTCTTTATACAATGCGAATAATTACAAATCCTCAAAATCGCATCAGTATGCTATCATTGCGAACCATGACAGGATGTATCGCATGCATGTTCTAAGATCGTCATTCATCGATCTCGTTACCATTGTCCTCTGAAGTCCTAAACAATCATCAAATAAACAGGTTGATCTATAAATTTACCTTTCATATCTTGTCGGTGATATGTGTGCAATGCTTTATTTCCCCTCAGTTGATAGAGGGGACTGTAAACTTTTGAACTTCTAAAAATCTATAGCCGACGTAAATTTCCAGTATTAAACATCTTCAACGTCAGTCCCTACTAACATGCAATGACTCAGAAAAGTAAGGAAGCAATTCAATCTTCCTTGAACTTATATTGGTCAACAGGTAGGGCAAGATTACTTCGCAACAGGGAAGATGAGGATATTCATTAACCTAAACTTTGAATATTGTGTACAGCTGCATCCAAACTGCATTTCTACGATATCTAAGTCTGCAGTTTTATACGAAGAATCTTTTCTCTGGTCTACTACTCCTCAGAAGAGGAAATAACTAGATTACTGTACCTACACTTCGTGCTTAGTATTAATATGTTCTCGTCCATTAAATTACTAACATCGTAGCCCCCTGATTTTCTGAAACAACTAGGCCTTCGTATCTGATGATCAATTATCATCTGAATGAACATTGCTCTTAAGGTCCATATCCACGAGGATATCTGGATGTGTACACAAATTTTCTATAACAAGCCGTTTGCTTGCTGCATCGAGTACCTACTTCTTACCCAAAGGTTTTATAATGGTAAAGTTTGGTTGTAGGATGAAAAAAATTAAAAACCAGAAATCAGCTCATCAATCTCAAGGTTCCAATGCAGTAATAGCGAAACTGTTTACATAGTTCAGGGAAATATACTTACAAGCAACATCACTAATAGAAACACATTTGTTCGTGAATAATTTCAGAGCCCATAAATATTACCTATATGACCCTTCACTGAGACAATCTACAATGTTAAGGAAAAATATAGATTTAATCAATCTTTTATCTACATCAGTGATAAACTCAGATTCACCTTGAACTATTACTACATTATTCAGCTCGAATAAAATGAATCCAGCACTGCTGCACGTAACAGCCTGTTTCTTCGAACAATAGTTGACTGACCTTTTTGTCGTGGCGATGGGATTGCTATCTTGAAGCCTACCACAAAATGTTATATTTTTTCCATAATGCTGGAGTGCATGCTTTCTTGCAGCCTATTCGCTATGTACTATTCACTTAATCTGCCTCAGATATGACTCAAACAGGTGAACCGAATGAGAATCTAGTGCTCCATGCAGATATACATCACCCACAACACCACTTGTATTCTCAATAAAATTTATTCAAATATTCTCAAACCGAATTCGTCGAAGTGCTATGAAGTTTAGTATACGATAACAGATAATTCGATAGTGCACCTGAACTAGTGATAGGGAGTGAAGTAGTCGAGCGTGTAGACCGCTTCACTTATCTCGGTAGTCTCATCAGTGCTGATGGCCTGGTGACTGACGAAATCTCAGCGCGGATACTGAAGGCGCGATTGGCTTTTGCCAACTTCCGTCACTTATAGCATAGGCGAGATATCTGTCTTCTAACCAAAGGACGAGTGTACTGCACAGCAGTTCGGTCTGTCCTACTTTATGGCTGTGAAACATGGCCAGTGAGAGTAGAAGATATTCGTAGGTTACTGGTTTTCGATCATAGGTGTCTCCGAAGCATTGCTCGTGTATCGTGGGACAACTGAGTAAGCAATGTTGTTATTAAGAAACGGGTACTAAGTAATGACGACAGATCAATAGATGAAGAATTGAAACTTCAGTTGAGGTGGTTGGGACATGTGTTACGTATGGCTAACCACCGACTGCCGCGACGAGCTATGTTTTGCAGTGTAGTAGTAGATTGGAAGAAAGCTAGAGGCGGCCAAACCAAGACATGGCAGAAATCCATGAAGTCACTGACAAATGGACTGAGTCATGTTGGTAGATGTAGGCTACCTGGTTGGGGTCCGCGAGACGATAGTCACGGGTGGTTAGAGACCTTGAACGACATGGCTCAGAATCGTTTGCAATGGCGCAGGTGCATCCACTCTTTGTGTTCTATGAAATTCTAAGCTTCTGCATTCCTCATAACCTCTACCTTTCTCCTTCTAAATTTATCTTACTGAATTATACTTCTCGAATCGTATCTTCAAACTATAATCTTTTCCATTACTGCTAATACTTCTATTATTGCTATCACTCTTGGATTTGAACTGACAGTTGCGTCTCTGTGCTGATGGGGCATGGCAACCTGAACTGATGTACGTACGTATGTACAAAGTTCTATATTGTAACTGACTGACTGAATTTAATAGTGCTAAACTTTCAAAATTTAAATAAAGAGGTAACAGGGAAACATTTCTTAGAAACTATGGGGTCTAAATAAAACAGGAACCTTTTAAGTCCTGATAATTTTAATGCCAAGACAATGTGTAAGTTGTGATATTTATACTGGAGTTTTAAAGGAGTAATTTCAACACTTTGCGCAATGAATTTATATTCATAATAATTGTTTAACTCTTGCTATCTGAGCCCAACTTTTTTGCACTATAAATTATGTCAGTTGGTGACTAAAACCCTGTAAGGTTATAACCACGACTTTTGAACACTAATCCAACCTCTTCTGGATTCTTCAGCACCTCTACCTTTGTCATTCTAACCTTATCTCACTGAATTATACTTCTTGAATAATATCTTCAAACCCTAGTCTTCTTCATTACCATTAATACCTCTCCTATCTTTATCACTATGGGATTTGATTTGACATTTGTGTCTCTGTGCTAATAATGTGGTATGGCAACATGAACTTATGTACATACGTACGTAGTTCTACGTTGCAACTGACTGACTGACAACCTCTTATGTGTAAACGTAATCAATAATTTAATAGGGAAATGATCACTGGAACAATAGAAAGTTTTTTTTATTTTCGCGCCCGGAATTACTTCTTTTGACATTAGTATATGTAATGTGACTAAAAATGTTTATGATGCCTAAAATTAGTCAATATGGTGTTATTTTAATCTCAGTAATACTACATTTCCGTTCAGTCTGTCACTACAAGTTTCCAGTTAACTTTCTTCACTAATCTTGAACATCATTCTTCTTAATGTTATCTGACTCCATAATTGTACCAGATTAGTTTTACACAATCAATCTAATCTAATAATTTAAGTCGCTTAATGTCACAGTTAAAAATAATATCTAATATGTGTACCTATACACTTTCTTTTTTTTTTTAGTCTTATGAATTCTGGTCATAGTAAACTTCAACTAGAAGTCATTCGTTTGTATCGAAATTTCCTGCGTGCTGTTAATTTGTTACAAGTCAAGTCCAAATCGGAGAATGGTAACAGCAGTGTAAATAACGGTCCAAATTGTGACCAACTCAAAGAATTTATCCGGTCAGAGTTTCGATCTCAAGCAAGTGCCTACAAAAAGACTGATATTTTTGGTATAGAGGCAGCACTACGCAGAGGTCAACGACGCCTAGACGATATTAAGTCCGGAACTGTCGTAAACATTAGAAAACTTTCTGTCCTTCAAAAGAATAATGACAAGTAGTAGACTGATTGCAAAACTCAAACGCTTTACCAATACTCTTAATACAGACGGAACAAACTATGTAGCTTCTTTTGCTTATGGATCTGTTGTTTTTCCACAGAAGGACAGAACATCAAGTAATTCGCTTATTGATCTAGTTATAATTGTTCGCAATCCTGTTGAATGGCATCTGAAAAATATTTCTGAAAACCCCAGTCACTACAATTCCTTATTCCGGAATTTTGCTGAAAAGTACCAAGCATCAAGCCTAAACATGTTTCTTTCGCGTATTCCCGGTCCCAAAGTTTATTATAACCCGTTTATTGAATGGAGTGATCCATTAGATAATACCAAACTATCATTTAAATATGGTGTTGTTGCTTTGGATAGTCTGCTCACTGATTTGTGCAATTGGTCACATCTTTACTTAGCTGGACGCCTACATAAGCCTGTATTATGGGTTCCTATCAGGTCTAATCTCTCCTCCTCTCAAGGTTATGATGAAAAATTGCACGCATCACAAAGTAAAAATCTACTTGCCTCTTTATCTTACGCAGTTTTACTGAATTATCCAACAAATTTCCCACTGAATGAATACGATTTATTCTACGCTATTTCTTCTATCTCTTACAACGGAGATTGGCGGATGATTATTGGTGAAGATCGGGAGAAAATAAGGCGTTTAGTATCTGGTGAAAGTCGATTATCTGAATTCCGCTCGCTTTATACGAATACGTTTAATTCTCTTCAACAATGCGGTTTTTCTCTTAAACCATCTTCAAATTCTAATCTTGGAAATGAGTTACATTGGTTTAAGCCATCTAAAAATGAATCTGAAAATATCTTCGAGCTTCTGAAAAATATTCCCGATCATGTATGTTTACTTTCTGCTCAAGAAGTTTGTAATGATAATCCAAATGATGCTCGAACATTTCTTTCAAGTCTGTCACATACAGATAGAAACCAACGACTACAAAATTCTGTATCTAATATAGTTAGAAGGTCTAGTTTATATCAAACTGGTTTAGGTTTAATTTCTGCTGGACCTAAACGATCATTACGATATGCATTTGCAAAACTAAATAAAATGTTTGCTAGTTTAGGACTTATTAAATGGAGCTAGTTGTTATATAGTGTTGAGTTTTATTTACTTCATATTAGTATTTTACATATTAGAAGTTTTTAGTACTGTTTATTTCTTGTGTATAGTCTTTGCAAATAACATTTTGTTTACTTTGACTGCGTATCTTTCTGTTATTTTCTGATATCTTATTATGATTTATATTCTAAATTTTTATGCCTTTATGAACATTAATGTACCGAAGATATAAAATGATGTCTGATTTTTTGATATTTTTTTAGTTAATGATATGGTTGTACAATTTAAATAAAAGTGGTGAATTCTTCAGATATCCATTTTTATGAGATAAAACCTTCAACTAGAAGTCTTCACATGATTCCTACTAGTATAAATGATAGTATAAACGAGTGCTATATCTTTTCCTAAGTACATAAAAGTCTCCATTTTATATGAAGCCACTTATTATTCCACATAGGTACTAATAAATTGTTACGTTATTAGACTAAGACGGAAATTAGTTTGTCCTATGTTTTCATGAAAAATCCATTGTCATCATGTAGATGATATACGATCAGTTAGTTAAGATAAAGCTGTTAATAAATATTCAAACAAAGAATCCCATTCTCAGTAAATTTTCACCAGTCTCTACAGTTGTAATTTCAAATTAAGAATAAAAATGAATAACTAAAAACAAAGAAGATGCATTTTTTAGAATTGCGAGCTATGAATTTCAGTCAGTCAGCCACAACGTAGAACCAAAGAAGCTGATAGCTCAGTTTAAATTTAGCAACCTACTTTAAGTTGAGGTTAAACTACGTAGTGTTAAGTCACTCCATTAAAAAATGAAGAACACTTTTTATTTATGTAGAGGAAAGACGAGTAAACAAATTATTTGTCCCATGGGTTTTCCTGCTCACATATTTTATTCTGTTATCTCTTTCCCTGATATAGATTTACTCTTAGTTCGTTTGCTCATTTTAGTTATATTTTATTAAGATTATCTCATCATGTTAAACAGTATTTTTTCGAACCTATTGTTTTTCTCTGGTCATCGACTTTATACCGGGGTAGGAAAGCTAACTCTACAGCCGAACCTCTTCTTTTACCCAATGCAAAGATCAATACTGGGCCTAAAAGTGTTCGCGACGATGTTATTCCTGTATCTCTAGATAATCTTTATTGTATTTTAAATAGAGATGCATCTAATGCTATTCACGTATACTGCTATTTTAATCCCGATACTATCATATCTAATTCTGACCGTATGTGTTATGGTACTCCAGATTCTCTAAATATAACTTATTTAGTGTGTTTTTAGTAATTAACTGTACACAAATCCGACTTTGATGCTGTTATCTACTCATTAGTTTTTTTCGTTTTTATGTCATCCTATCTACACATATTCCAAATTTATTTTCACATCGCAGCCGTGGTTAATTTAACTAACCTTTTGGTGAAGAATCTCTTTAAATCCTCAGTTGCATTAAAGGGAAAATGAGATTACTGGTCGTCCACCAGTCATAGGAGTTTGTATTTCAGGAAATATTCACTTATTTTTATAGAGACATGTTATCGGTGAAGGTTATAAAAGTACTTTAAAAGCCAAAAACCATATATGTATGTGGACAGTTCCTAATGATGATATTCTTCATTTATTTATCTGTGTTGGAAACATTAATCAGTATGTATTGGTGAAGTGTTCTTTCATAACAATCATGGTATTTTTTAATCATATTTTGATTTGCCTAAATGACCTCATCTATTTATAACCGTAACTACTTAAATTCAATTGCAAGACATAAACATATTTTGTTAATAAGCACTTTCTGTAAGTTTATATAAATTTCTTTTTGGACCTCACTTTGAGAATTCTAAAATTAATCTAATGTAAACTGTTTGTATCTCTTTAAGGGCTTATTAGTAATGAAACTCTTTTGTGAGTGTTATCTTGTACCTTAAAAAAGCTTAGGAAATTTGGTCTGTTATTTTACTAATTGTGTGGCCATAGAATCTTTCACTTGGCCAATCAATCGTTAGCTCCTCTCATCACCTGGTGACTGACGAATTCTCAGCTCGGATAGAAAAGGCTCGATTGGCTTTTGCCAACCTGCGTCACTTATGGCGTAGGCGAGATATCCGTTTGCTGACTAAAGGACGAGTGTTGTGCGCAGTAGTTCGCTCCGTCTTACTTTATGGCTGTGAAACATGGCCAGTGAGAGTAGAAGATATTCGTAGGTTACTGGTTTTCGATCATAGGTGTCTTCGAAGCATTGCTCATGTATCGTGGGACACCCGAGTGAGCAACGCTGTTATTAGGAATCGGGTGCTAGGCAAGAATGGCAGATCAATCGATGAAGTGGTGAAACTTCATCAGTTGAAGTGGTTGGGACATATGTTGCGTATGCCCAACCACCGACTGCCTCGTCGAGCTTTGTTTTGTAGTGTAGGAATAGGTTGGAAGAAAGTTAGGGGCGGCCAAACCAAAACATGGCAGAAATCTGTGAAGTCATTGACGAGTGGACTTAGCCTTGTCGGTAATTGTCGACTACCTGGTTGGGGTCCGCGAGATGATAATAATCGATGGTTAGAGACCTTGAATGATATGGCTCAAAATCGTTCGCAATGGCGCTGGTGCATTTATTCTCTGTGTTCTCTCAAATCCTAATCTTCTGGATTCTTCAACACCTATAGTTTTGACTTTCTAAACTTTTCTCATTTAATCATACTTCTTGAATAATATCTACTCATCCTAACCTCTCCGATTACTTCTAATACCCTTACTACCTCTTCTACTATTGGATTTGAATTGACAATTACATCTCTGTGCTGATGTGGTATGGCGACATGAACTGATGTACGTACGTATGTACGAAGTTCTACGTTGCAACTGACTGACTGACTTGTGAAATTATATAGATAAATCATCGTTTTCGGTAAAAGTGTAAGTATTTATCAACGTTTTCTATACTGAAGAAATTATAGCTACACATAAATTTGAGTTCTAGTGTAAGGTAAGTAATATCTCATTTATTCTGTATATATCTGTTCAAAATTTTTGGAGTGTTAATCATTGATTATTATGATAAGTAGTTGAATTTTAATATTTCTGAATAAAAACATTAAAGGGAGATTTGTACCTTCCACCTGATGTTCCCGTACTACACATAGAACAATAATTTGTTGGTGATTCCACACCAGCTTTAGAAAGCGTTCTTCAAGCAGATGTAGGATGACACACTCCTCATTGTCTCATCTTCAGGCAGAAATAAAAAATAATTCCGGCTGAGATTTAAGCTTATCTTGTAGTACAAGTAGAATAGAGTCCCGGGTTGCAGAGATTTATTCTCGCGTGGATGAAATCGAAGCAGATACGGCTGAAGCTCGAGGTACCGTTGTTTTACATGGTCTTGGTTTTAGTCCAGAAATGCGGGTCTGTTAATAAACACGCAGTTAAATTCTACTTTAAAACAATATATAAGGGAACAACACTGCTGTCGGTTAGATCTTCATCAAGCTCTACTCCAATATACAGTATTATTATATTCGTGTTTGAAAATTTTAAGTGAATCAAGACAGTTTATCAGCTGATGATAATGATGAAATATGTGTGTTACGCATGAACGTAAACATGTGATTTCGATATGCTTGAACTATTACGAGTAAGAGAGCGAGGATCCGGCGAGACGACATGCTACTCTAATCCGAGTGTCTTAACCCCCATTGAATAAAACAAGAAGACTTGATATGAAGAAGAACCTGTATTCTACAAGCATCCAGAAAGTACGAGGTCCGAGTCCAGAAGAGAATCAGAATCCCGAACTAGGGATACGGGTCATAAAACGTTACAGATAATGCGTATTTATACAGTCAGGTCGAATAAGAAACAGCACTGTAGTCTGTGACATTGACTGTTAAGACGACCAATAGGAAACAACATTGGAATACGTGACATTCGTATCTCGGACGACCATAAAACTGACCAGTAGAAATTAACCAATCGGAATTGACCAATAATTCTCTTAGGATATTGAATGAATATCCTAACAAGATGATATAACCAAATGTTATGAGTAAAGATACAAGTCGATAATGTGACGTCAGTTGTATTAGTTGAGATCAGAATAGTAAACGCCTCAATCAAATTTTTCGACATAGAAAGTAGATCAAAACTTAGGAAGTAGGTATTATAATAACACTCATCAACAGTTATTAAAATTACGTTCTACTGAGTAGACTCGCTAGAGCCATAAAGAATTTTATATCCAGCAAAACTGCCTGTCATTTTTCTAGATGACATGTGGTTCAGCACCTAAAGGATGAGTTATTTCATTTGATATGTCCATGTGCATCTATGAATTCAGTTGCTCACGCAGAGCAAGCCACATCGGACGTCAGTCAGTTAGTTACAACGTAGAACTTCGTACATACGTACGTACATCAGTTCAGGTTACCGTACCACATTAGCACAGAGACGCAGTTGTCAATTCAAATCCCATAGTGGTAGCCATAGTAGAAGTATTGGCAATAATCGGAGAGGTTATAGTTCGAAGATATTATTCAAGAAGTATAATCCAGTGAAGTAAACTTAAAAAGAGAAAGATAAACGTGTTGAGGAACTCTGAAGGTTAGGATTTGGGAGAAGCTAAAGAACGGATGCACCTATGCCATTGCAAAACGTTTTGAGCCATGTCGTTCAAGGTCTCTAACCATCGATTACTATCATCTCGTGCACCCCAACCAGGTAGTCTACGCTTACCAATATGACTCAGTCCACTTGTCAGTGACTCCATGAATTTGTGGCATGTTTTGGTTTGGACGCCCCTAGCTTTCTTCCAACCTACCACTACACCACAAAACAGTGCTCATCAAGGCAGGTGGGCGTATTGCCTTCAATATGTGAAAAAGTGCTGTCACAGGCTGACGTGTTAGTAAGATGGAGATAACGGTAGGCTGTGAAATCATAGTACACCCCTCGATATATTTCGAGCACATTAGATTTGTGATGATAATTATCTGCAGTAACCTTTCTCCACAGCTACGGATCAAATAGGTCTGACTTCAATTCAATCAGATGTAATCTGTATCGAAGGAACACAAAAAACAAAGAAAAAGAAATTGTTTTTTAACTGTGGCTTTAGATATGTACCTAGTTGTTACACCAAACCATACTACCCAAATTCGCTGTACGAATTGATTTCTGTCACTCTTCATGCTTTCAACTAACAATCAAAATCTGCTAGGAACTGTCAAAGACAGTTAACCCAGAATAGCTGCTGTTACTGTCTCCTGAATTGTCCAGATCCTCTTTGAAGA